ATCTTCTCTTCACTTGATTCTAGCAATGCCGCTTGTAAAGCTCTTTCTATTAGCAGGTCAATCGGAGCAGGAGCATATTTTCATCGCAAAAGTCAAGTTTCGAAACAAAAGTTTGAGTAATCAAAAAATCTATGGAAAATAGTAAATAAAGACCAAAATAGAAAAAATAAGTCATGTGTCCGAAAAAAATTGATATCAAACACAAACATCAACAATTGATGTGGATAACATATTTTCATCACAAAAAGAAAGTTTTGAAACAAAAGTTTTAGTTTAAAAAAAAAAACCATGTGAAATAGTAAATAGAGACCAAAATAGAAAATAAGTCTATGTGTCCCAAAAAACTTGATTTCGAACACAACACCGACATTTGATGTGGATAATAGTGTAACTGGTCATTTTGGTTTATACTGTCTTTGTTTAAGGCTGTGCAAGCAGTCCGTGACCACTGGATGAAATCTGCACCACAAACCATAACACTGAAAGAGCTTGGCCCATTACTTCATGACTATCAACGTTTGATTACCCGCCATTATATGTGAGATTGATTTCTTCCTGGTTACATTTTTTTTCCTTACCATAAATATGAGAGTTGGTGTCTTCTTGGTACTTTTTTTTTCTTCTTTTTAGTAAGATATATTAATAAATAGATTCCTTTTCGTAATTATTAAGTTACTTTGACTCCTATATTCACGGTGAATGCTCCAGAACTGCTTTGCAATAATATTTAACACTGTCGAGTAATCTTTTGAGACTTGTTTTCTTCTATGGCAGAGGAAAGGCTGGATCTAATCTGGAGGTTTTAGCATTTGGGTTTTCCGAAAAACGTGTTTTTCGCTTCTATCATGTTAAAAGTGCTTCTAAGGTGACAATATTCTGTGCTCCTTACTCTGCCTCTTGTGATGGTTTTAGATTGTTTACTTTAAATTACATGAGTTTTATCCTTGCATTGAATTGAACATTAGCTACATGAAATAATGCATGTTCAGATTATATACTGGAAGATAATTATATGTGCGGGGGAAACTGAACTATGTGAATCTGTTTGTTTTTCAGCTGCGATTGAGTGACATCTCGAATCTTTTGGCCGAGTACAAAGACCTTCTCTCATCTACATGTGCCGATGGGGCACTGAAGATGTATGAAGCTCAATAATCTTTATGCTGCATGCTGAGAAATGGCTTTTGAGGAATAATAAAAATAAAACTGAAATTATAAAAGTAAGACAATCCGGAGGCAAGAGCCAACAGATTTGTTAAAGCATCTTTCAGTGAATATTTGCAAATTTAGCTTTACCTTTAGCCATTTCATCTTTAATTTGCCTAAAGATAATCAGCTGAGTTGTGTTATTGACTTCAAATGCATGCATGTGTTTGGGCTAATACACGTTGTCGTTTTAAATTTGGTTAGTGAACTAGTTGAGGCGAGATCAACTCGTTAAGACTTGATTTTGGCTCATTAATATTGATAATTGAGTTGAGCTATAGATAGAGAGTCGAGCTTGAGTATCAGAAGCTCGAGCTTGGGTCGTTTGCCAAATTGAAATATTTTGATGTGCTCAGAAAGAAAAGTAAATTGCATAATTCATTAGTTCCAGA